GAACAGGACATCTCTCAATTTAGAATGAATACATTAGATGTAATTTCTAAAACTATTTCTGGTGTAAAAACCTCAGCTGGGATAATTTTTGCGTACAATTTCACAGGGTTCATAACAGCATCTCAACCGCAGGGTAAGATGCAGCCAGAATGTATTACAGAGGCTTATGGAAACTGGCTTCATGAATGTATTATGGAACAGATCCATGTTTTAAATGGAATTAAATCAACCTCTGGAAATGTAGACCGACTACAACCATATGACTGTGTTAATGTTTAGATAATGGTGACACTGTTTAATTTAGGTCCGATTACTTTGTATGCCTTACTAATCACCCACCTCCAGAGGAGGAATTGCTAAGAGGGACTTCAAGGAGACATCTTGTTACAAGGAAGATAACAAGGATAGAACAACGGTACTGGCCTGAAGTCAGCAAAAAAATCCACAGTAACTGGGGTAAAGGTAAAGGTAGCAGGGGGAGATCACGACCACTGACTCAATTCAGGGTCTATGCAAACTGTCCCCCCACCTGCAAAGAGCATGCGTGCTGGTTTACATGGCAAGCAAAGCTAATTTAAATGTAACAAGCCAACAGCAAGGATACAGTGATCACTAACCAATGAATGTAAATTTGGGTGGGTTTTGCATTGTTTCTGCTAATCATGTAACAGGATAAATACATTGCAATTCCTTCGTGTGGCATGCTAGCTTTGTGGGATTATCCCCTAGCACCCACCTTTGCGCAAACATGAAATAAATATCTCGGCTCTGTGTGTAAGATTGGCTTATTGCACAGCGGGTACCCGACCCCGCTTGTGGGACAACAGAAACACTTCCCAGATGTTGTTCTGTCAGCTCCACTGAGTGCGTGAGCACACAGCAATGGAACAAATATGATCTAGAGGTCACACACAAGCCACACAGTTTCACTGAACACCAGAACCTAATTAGAAAGATACCAAGCATCTTCAGAACAATGGCTATGAATTAAGTAATATTTTTAAATAATTTTTTTAAAAAAATCAAAGTTATTGTTATAATTTAATAAACAAAGACTAAGCTATACAACCAAAGTATTAAATGCAGACTGTACCGAAGTTTTAATGAAATCCAGGTTTTTCAAGTTTTCCAGCAACCTTTGACTCTAAAAGACCACAGCAGAAGGGAAACAAAAGGAAGACACAAATGCACAGCTTTAGAAGTTGAAAATTATTCTGAAAAACATTAAATAGTCAGTACCATAATTTCTATTTCTGAACAAGCCCCCACTATGCATCAGAGATTCATCCAGTTCTTATTTGTAAATTTAGAATGTAATGGAAAAATATTTTCTGTTTTTAGTAAAACACTGACTACAAAGCAATTTTCATTAAGATAAAGTCTTCGTGTATTTGTTGACAAAGTTACAGAGATATTACAACTCTGTTGACTAACTAAAGCACAGTGTGTAGCAGAATAGTTAATTTTCTCAAAGCTACCACAGCAACTGGTTATGACGGCTTTCTAAATCATTTTCATTAGAAATGATCAAAGAAACCACATTCTTACATTGTGGTTTAAGACTATTAATAGATTATTATAAAAGCTAAGATCAATCTTAGCTGCCACAAAATCTTAATGACCAATAAAACTTTATCACTCTTAAGTCTTTCATGCCAATGAGCTTCTTCACTAACCGTTACAGAAGCTTTCCATTTCCATTTTGCCCTTCTTTGAATTTTTTGTAAGTGCTGTGCTTTTAAGGAAAAATATTTTGCATATAAACAATGCATTTTTTAACTAACACATTATATCGGGCCTTAATTTTTACTAGGGTAAGACTCGACTTCAAAAAATAGTGCACTTGCCACTCTATCTGAAGAAATGTTTAAGTCCTTTTTGTCAGGCGTTTATAATTTACTATTACTTGAATCAATATGATGCTGAGTAGGAAAATAAGAAAGTCTTTCTCTGAAGAGCTTTCAAGCAAAATTGTTAAAATAGAGAAGTGACAAAAAAAAGAAGCGATTATGTTACTTCACTGTTTAGAAAGAACGAAGATTAAGTATTTCTCATTAAAAAAACTAATAAAATATACGATCTAATAGTAAAAGCACATCCATCCCCCAAACACTTTACTCTGCTTTCATAATTTGTAACACAATATGAACCAATATGCTATGCTGTCAGCAACTACAGTATTTTTAGTTGATTCTTCTACAGTGCATCACAATAATAAAAGAGATGTATTAACAGCTACTATTAAAACATTCCTAAGCGTAACGGTGTTCTGTGATAGCCACCTGCGTATCACTTGTACTATCATGGCTATCCAAACTTTGTTTCTGCTTGTAGACTCAAACTGTTAAATCAGATGGTGAGGATTCTTAAGAACAGTCTCCAAGCCATACACAAAGCAGCAAAGTATCAGGAAACAACATGGCAACAAGCTGTTGCTTACCAGTTGTGAGGCATGCTTTATCCTCTCTACAATCCCATCGTGGCCCAGGTACTGCAGTGAGAGCCACAGTGGCAGGGCACGGAGCTTCTCTACGGGCTGACTTGATGTCAGCCCAGCTGCTAAGGACTGAAGAGGAAATAAACAATAAACAAACCACTATTAACGTCTCTTCAACTATTCCATTTTTGACAGCTTACAGACCATGTCACAGCTTCAATAAGGGAGCTTTTGCAAATTATAATTTAGATGCTTATGAAGAACAAGACACTACACCATGACCAAAATTAAAGCTTCAAGATCTCGAGAATGACTGAGGAGTTGAACATACCAAAGACGGATCCTCATGTCTGTAGAGTGTCACTGCAGGTACAGCCGGGAGACCCAACCAGGAACCCAGAGTAAGAGTCATGCTGTCACATTTTGTAGCAGCCTGAAGTTGATTACCATAAGCAGAATATAAGCCATATGTATTTTGATTAGATCATGACCTTAAAAATCTAAAGCACATTCAAGTTTCTAGATACAGTAAAACATACCAGTACAGAAGAGGAGACATAACCCAAAGCCAAAGTTGCCAAATTCACACTAGAAAAAGAAAGTGGTTTTAGCAAATATTAAATATGCATTAAGAGATACCATTTTAATCTCCAGTTTAAATATTTCATGTTGATACGTAAAGGGAGGTAATTTTTGTTCGTATATTTTTCCTTAACAATGTAGTAGATGTTGCTACTTGGTATTCCAAGATTGAAAACCCAAAAATAAAAATCTATTTCAATCAAAAAATGGTTCAGTCCAACCTTTGGGGAAATCATCCCCTGAAGTCCTACCCATAATTCAGTATCAGTTTGGTATCAGAAATTAATAGCATGCAAATATAACACTATATAATGAAGTATCAGGAGAAACAGAGTCTCTACTCCAGGCTCAAAAAAAACCAAAACAAAACACCTAGAGAACTGAGTCTTCATTAACATTGTTTAAGTTCTTGGAATTTCTTTTCCTCTTGGTTTAATACTCCTCCCAATTATGTTGCACAGTCTTGCAGCAGTTTTCTTGACAACTTTCATTAAGGTGTTATCTCTTCCACACTCATTTCATTCTCCTTTCTAATTCTCAATAATTACTATTTTGTATACTAATTGTATAGTGTTTCTCCTGACTTGTCCTATAAGGTCTTTTTATTCTTATTCCAAGCTCTTCAAAGCAAGGGCAGATAAGATTACCATCTGAGCAAAAGTAATCACTAACCTATACTGAAATAACCACTCCGATTAATTATTCCTGTATATGTAAAACAATTTGTATCTCATGCAGTGAACAAAATTATAACCATATAAAATACTCAATGACAAAAATAAAGATGGTCCTATTGCTCTCTACTAGCTGGTTAGCTGTAAAATTATGTGCTGTCCATTAGTTAAGACTTTTTAATGAATATAGTTACACAGAAATAAATTTCAAGTTTCATACCCTTCTACATGGAGCCACATATTATACTGCTCACAAAGTTCCTTCAGTCGGCCAAGTTTATCTGTGTGCCCAGCACCTGGTGTCCCTTTGTTGAAAAGGAAAAAAGGCAATGACAAAGGGTAAGCATGCAAACTAGGACTACATAAAAGGAGCTCTTGTACTGTTGTCAAAAGTCACACAAGAGCAGGAAAAAGGATTTTTAAAAAGAGCCCAGTACACAGTATTCATAACTGGTTCATTGTGACTTACGACTAATTGGAATTCTAGGCAAAAAATAAAGACACTTGTTTTGCTTGTCAATATATGTTAAAAATACTTAGAAAATTAGATGTCCTAGGTACTAGAAGACTCAGCAGCCTCAGAAAAGAAATGCAGACAACTTTAATATGTTCAAACTATGACCTCAACTAAAGGAAACAAAACCAAGATTAACATCTCTGATATTTTTCCAAGTCCAAAGCAAGTAGCAGTCACCTCCTTCATTCATACTTAAAAGGAATTTTGTTCATGAGCAGTTCTGTTTAATTAACTAGAAGAAAAATATAATTTTTAAGGCTAAAGTTGATGGCACATCCATCAAAAATTTTTGAACTGTTAATGTGAAACTGATTTTCAACAAGAGATTTGCACTCACTGAAGTAAGGTCTAGTTATATTAATACATCAACTGTAGTAGTACAATCCAACTTTAAATCAGTTAAATAAAAACCCCTCTAGACAGATAATTATTGTGTGGTCATTAAGATATTTCCTGATATTTCTTGACATGCAACCACTAAGCTGTTTAAGAAAACATGTTTTTATTCTGGATTTTTTATATATTCAGGAAATAGCATGCTTGTTTTGTTATTGTTTGTCCATAGCACTTACCAGCATTGGCCACAAGCATCAGAGGCAGTTTTCCAGACTCAACATCGTCTTTAATCACTCTGTCCAACAAGGCAACATCCTGTTATCAATAAGAAAAAGATATGTATTTATCAGTACGTTTGTCAAACAATACAGAATTGTTTCTGCTGAATTGGAAAAAATGCATTAAGAGCAAAAATGGACAGCATTCTGAAGTTCTGGAAGACATTCTTAATGTCTTTGTGGCTTGCAGTTTCTTCTTCTCAAAGGTAAAATAACCTGAAGGTCAGATAAAGCATTTGTGAAAAATACAACACAAATAAATCATGTTGTTTGTAAGCGTACCTCCGACTACATGTGTTCTAGAAATCTTGGACTAAAAAAGCACCTTACTATATGCCATTAGAAACAACTTGCAAATGACAAAACCAAGATACCAAGATAAAAAGCTGCTGGCTTTTTAGAAGATTTCAGTCTACAATTTGTACAGCTATAACATAGAAGACTCAGAGGCTGAAAAAGTAAGTACATTAATAAGCTTCTCCTAACAACATACTTGACATTCATGTAATGAGGTTTTTAAAAAAAAGAATAAAAACAGAAACCAAAAGAGCTCTTAAAGAAGAGAAACTTACCATTTGGTGTTGAGATCCAAACATAGTGTTACAAGGCACACGGCACATGCAAGAAAGAGGTAACCCTAGCTGCAATAAAAATGATGGAATTTCAACAACTGAGACATACTCATTTCAAGCATTCATAGAAATACATGGGGTGATGCAAAAAATAGTAGATATGACAATAAAAAGCTAGATATCACATTATAAAGTAAGTTTTCTGCTAAAACTTAAAATCAAATTAATAGCAGAGAAAGCACAGGAGAAATTAAAAAAAACAACAGTAAACTTTTGGTTAGCAGGTCAACTGTGTTCAGTTGTTCTGAGATACCCATGCCCTGTACAACAGCCTAAACTCAATCCTGTTTTTCTTGGCCACCCCTGCAATTAATACACCTTATGAGCAAATGTGTGCTTTGTACATGGGCCACGTTCCACTGGAGGTTCACAGTCACTTTACTACCGAGTAGGGAGCAATCTGCCTACTTTGATCATACAGCTCAGGTGACTATTCATGCTGGTTAAGTCTGATGGAGGCAAATTCCAGATAACTTCTGCATCATCAACATAGAGGGAGGCTGGCGAATCAAGGTCTCTTACATTTAGATCTTTAACTTGGAAGATCATCAGTAGACAAGTGAAATCTAGTTGACTGTACTCATCATCACTGAGCAGAAGATTCAGCATGTTAAGAGAACTACAGTTACAGACTAGTTTGTTTTAATCCTTTCATTTAACACAACTTGAATCAATGTCTGACTATCAATTGTCTGCTCTACAATATACACTACTTCTCAAAATCTAAGATAAAATGCTGTCACTTCTAAGTTCTGTGATCGCCTAATTGTGGACAGGTTACCTCATAAATAAAAGATAAGGCACCACTGTTATTAGCAGAATCTACTCTGTACTCAGAAGCAAAAGGCTCCCAAAATACTGATTCTTAGCAGTATTTCTTGTATCAAACAGTTTTGGTCAATAACTACATGCAACACTTGGCTTACCAAAGTAACACTAACTTATTTCAATGAACAAAATTTTACCACCTACTTCCCAAGTCGTTTTAGCCAAGTTCCGTCTATGAGACCATTTTTATTTCTCTGCAGTCTACATTTTTAATCTATTAGTAGTACCTCTGCCTGCCTTCTCCAAAGACTTGTAAAACAAAGGCCATAAGAACTCAACCCTTCATTTCAGTGCATGTTAAGTTTGAAAAATATCACTAGTGCACTGAATGTTAGGTATGCAGTAAGAAAATCTGTATATGGCCTCAATTAGTTTATTTAAGCCAACAAATATTCATGCAAATAAATACTTGGCAAAACCAGTAAGTTTTAGACATAATTAGGAAAAACTGGGTTTCTTTAAAGCGCTGGGTTGTAGGGTAATCTTGCTATTCCAAGCAAGACATTTTGAAATGGGATCACCACAGCCTACTTCTCCCTCAACAGTTTTCCTTTAAAAGAGAAAAAAAAAGACAATTTTTATTAAAAATAAACAGGGGCATCATTCAGCACAAATTTTGCAGTAACTCCGTCTGGAAATCCAGTATGTTTGGACTCGGGTCTTTTTCACCATGACCAACAGCTTATGTAAAGCACAATGCAATCTAGAAACAATCAGTTGTTAGAAAAAAAAAAAAAGGCAGCATGTAGGATCCTTTCATTGGAAATATTCAGAATATTTTTCTTCCTTCCGTTGTATTGTTGCTGCAAAATAGAGACTGTAAATGCAACCTGAAAGTATTTTTTCCAGACAAATGGTGTTAATTTAAACACATGATCCACTGCAGCTACTGAGGTTACCCCCAGTATGGACTTTGCTTCCTTTGACTATGTTTTATAATTAAGTTGGAAATCACAATTAATAAAGCAGTATCACCACACTGTGTAACATTTTTGTATTACTAGCTTGCAGATATTTGGCTGGCATCAAAGTATGGTTTCACCTCAGACACCCTTCCCCTCCCACCCCCTGTTGTGTTGCTTTTTAGTCACATTGCTGCTGTTTCTACTATGAGGAAAAATAAGTTAAGTTTTCAAAATCATCAAAGTTACGCTTTTACTAAAATCAACTTTTTTGAGGCCAAAGCAGTATTTCAACAGGCAGACACATCATCCTAAGTCTTAGAACCATATATAATTTTATAACCTATAAAAATCTATTACGTCCATAGAAAGGCAAAGAAGAGATGAGAATGAAGGGAATCTGCTCATGAATCACACACACAGAATCATTAAGGTTGGAAAAGACCTTTAAGATCATCACGTTCAACCATCAACCCAACACCACCATGCCCACTAAACCATGTCCCGAAGTGCCACGCCTACACGTTTTTTGAATGCCTCCAGTGATGGTGACTCTACTACCTCCCAGGGCAGCTTGTTCCAATGCTTGACCAGAGGAACACTTACCACGTGAATGTGTGGAAGGAACAGCAGAGCTGCAGAAAGAGCCTGCTCAGCTTGCTTGGGGATACATTATTCAGTCAACATAGCAGCATTGGGAAAAATCTGAAAAAGTTTCACTCCTAACAGTGGAAGTTCCAGGTAGACACATGGATCTAAAGGAAAACTTTCACTTGCTCCAACCAATTTACAAGACTGCTGCCAGTAGTGTACCAGACTGTACTGCAAGTACCAGTCTCTTGCAGGAAAAGTCTGAATGTATTTTTAAAATCTAAATTTCAAGTAGGCAACATGAAGCCAGATAGGTTCTACTTGCAGCGAAAACCCCCGTTGATTCACTTTACCTGATTGCAGAGAGCTTGGCCCAAGCCTGTTCTAGCTGCAGAACTAATGTATATGACAGGCTGCTTAGTATATAGCACGTTAAATCCTTCTATTGTATAATCTTCATAGCGTGTGTGAATAACAAGTCGACAGATTTTTAGGAGACCTTCGCGATCATCTTCATGGTAATATGCTGATCCATTTTCATATCTGCAAGAAAAGCCAAGTGATTATGATCAACAAAACCAATGGCCAGATTAGCAACTAAAATAACACTTACCAGCAAAGGAGCTTACAAGAGGACAAAGAAAATAGATTAAAAACCCTTCTATTTTCCCCAGGCTAAAGTAGAGTAGAAGGAAACTTTGACAAGACAGGCTGAGATTAACGAGGGAAGCCTAGTATGTACTTTCATTTAGACTAAGATAAAGTAAGAAGGAAAAAATATCTGGGTTCCTAAGGATTGCCTTTATGGAGTTCAAAACCTTGCTTACTAAGGGTGGAGTGGGGGAGGAAGCACACAAAAGGCTTCATCTGGTTTTAATATGCATGTAAATTCTAGCCTGCTAATTTAAAAGAGAATGCAACCTGTCATTCTTTAAGTTAGTAAAATTGGAATGAGACATGTGAAGTAAATTGTCAGAAACTTGCAAACTTTATTATGAAATCACAAATTAAGATATTTTGCAATACCCAAAATTAGTGCTGTCATTTGTATTTTAGAGAGTTTGAAAATAAGACCGTAATTTAGTACAATCTATTCATCACACTGCAAGACAGTTCTCCAGATGCTTTAGATGAGTTACATAAACAAAGTATATTTTTCCCCAGGAATATTTTAATGATTTTATGGCTATTTTGGCTTCAATATGATTAATCAAGGCATGTTTCCCTGAGGCTCATGGGGGTGTGAGGGTGTGTGTCTGCTCCTCCCCCACCATTTTTAACCCTTCTAAGAATCAAACTCAGATCAGCCCATTAACATTTATAGTCAAGAAACGGGAGCAAAGTAACCAAAGAAGAGATAAGGTACGAGTGTTCCACATTGAGGGCAATCCCTCAGCTGTCTTAACTATAGAAAAGGAAACAGCAACAGTGAAAGTAGTAAATATGTCAATTTATTAAGCAACTTCCAAGTTAGATTTTTCTTCCAGCATTTTTATGCAACACGTATGCCAGTGGTCTTGTGCAATTAAAGAGTGGCATTTATCAACAAATTTACATAAAGTCCCTGAAACATCTTAGGTTACCACACACTATCTGATGCACAAATACTGCTAAGTATTCCAGAGTTGAACTCCAGAATAACCCACAAGCAAACATTTACTTCACCTTTACACAACGGTTCTGTGCTCTAACATGGGCAAAGGGAAACTCCTCTAGTGTTGCTCATAGCCACGTAAAATGTCAAGAAGTATGAAGCAGTTCACAGCGTGGTATTTGTTCAATGCTGTTGCTTACAGGTCACAAAACTTTGGGAACCACAGTCCAATAGATACCCAGCATTAATCATAAAATCATGATGTTATTGAATATTTTACTCAAAACAGAAATAGTTTTTTTTTTTTAGCCGTGCCATTTAGAAACACCACTGACACACTCTCACTATATGCACATACATTTGTCAAAATAGCTGGATTACCTGCAACTTCTCAAATTTCATCATTGCACAAGGTTTTGACATCTTTAAATCAAAGACAGATAAAGACAATAATTGAATTAATAAAATAATTCTGATAGAGGTAAGCCCGTCAATGTAGGAAAAATCCTTCATAATTCTAGCAACTAAATTTGTGTTAACTTCAGTTACATTTTTACCATTTCATCTTGCACTGTGCTAAATAAGTAAATAAATAAATCTCAGTAGCACTGGGAAGATTTTCTGAAAGACACAGTAACATGAGAGGAAGAAAGTGGTGGGTTTTTTGCTTCAGGAAGGAAAAAAAAAAGGCATTTCTAATTAGTGAATTCCCCCCCCCCACTCCAACACACCCACACAGATTTCTATTCTTCTTCTCTCATGTAACAGTTTCAGATATCTGTGCTACATGATGAAACAGGCAGTTATGAAGGATTTAACTGTACTGTAAATTTCAGTAGTGTGACCTACCATACCTGGAAAGATAAACTAGATCCAGGAAGCGCAAAGGAGAAGGTAACTGAAGACATCTTTTAAAAATATGAAGTACCCCAAGACTCAGCAACATAGCATATGCCTCAAGAAACAAGAATTCAGTTAAATGTTTGACCAACTGTATGTATGCAACTGTACTTTGACCCTTAGCTCCACCATATTGCCCTTATAAAAGGTTTTTTATGGCAAGCATGTTATTAATAAGTTCCTGCCACTCAACAAGCAGTCTTTTTTTTTTTATTTTTAAAATTATGTAATGCGTTTAAGACCTTTCAAGTAACATTTGTAAGTTTGTGGCACAGTGGTTTCTTTTGTTGACATCCTCAGTCCAGTCACACATATTTTTAAACAATTATCACTACCTAGTCATACATAAGTTATTCAGTGACTCACCTGAAAAGCCTGCAGAGCCAGAGAGTAGTATCAGAAAGGATCCTTGTTGTAAGTTTTCTCAGTCTTTCCCTGTCCAGCACTGATATATAAGCAGCCAAACTATGTCCCAGTAGAGCCATATGACCCTGTTCACCAACGTTTTGAAGTCTGCAAGCCAGAACACAGTAACTGCCAACTAAATACGTCATGAACATTACAGTAATTTACGTTTGCATGTTTTTACTATAGAGTGGCAGAATTTGTTGATGTGCAATTTTAAATATTTAGCAGAGAGGTACAGTATACCACAGTCACCTTCCTGCCATTGTGTGTTACATACTAAATGCCAGTGCAGACAAAAGCACTTGCACTTCACTTCAGTTGGCCTAGCTGCTTACAATAACACCTTAGCTTCTTTTTTAGCCAGTCAGCTCGCATGAGTTGGAATTAAGCACTTTATCTGCATTAAGACTTTAAAGTCCATTAAATGCATACCTTCCCTCATGCAGCGAAAACTCAAGAGACATTATTAATAATATCTTCAGAGGCATAGCTTTCATTAGTTTGTTGGTGGTTTTTTTGTTTTGTTGGTTTTGGTTTTTAATCTCCAAGCTATTTTTCAAATGTTAATTTTCAACAATCTTCCGCAGATTATTTAGTATTATTTCTATTTTACAGAAAAATGGAAACAAAACATTTGATTTCCTCCTTTTTTTTTTCTTTTGTATTTAAAATCTACAGATAGAAATGGTAAAAAGAATTTATTGGTGTTCAAAGTTTTATAAGACTTTCAGACTTAAAACAACTTTCAGAAAGTAGGAAACAAAATGAGCTGTCACATCAGAAACAATTCCCTTGTACAATTCAATATAGCAATTAGTAATGAAAGCTTTATAATTTTAAGAAAGCCAAGCCTAATGCGTTACTCTGGTTCACTATATAATGTAATTTGCCTTTAAAAAGTGACATGGTTGCACAATATCTTTACACTTTAAAACACTTAAATGTATAAGTTCTATAATAATCAGAATATAACAAAACCAGGTATCTTTCACATATAATAATTCATATCGGCCTTACCGGTAGGCCTGTGAAGTTTCCTCTTCCTCCTCTCCATGCATTAGGTTCTGAACTAACTGAAGTATGCTCACCATATCCTGGCCACTGGCATACCAGGGAGGGCAAAACAAAACCACATCAGGAGAAGGAAAAAAAAAAAAAAAAGTAAGTACCAGCATCTAACAAAGAGACCATTTGGGATGCTGCATGGTAAGCCATGAAGACAACACTGCACTTCTACAGAATGCTGAGTATAGCAACAAAAACAGTTCCTTACTCTCAGAAAAACAGATCATGAAGACAAGGTTGCTGAATCAATTTATTCAAAACCCTACTTAATTATAGTAGAACACTTCCATAAGTATGAACTCAGACTCACAGAAAAACAGATCTACTGAAATCTGAAAATTTGGACTGAAAAGTTAGACTTGACAACATTTAATTGCTTATTGCTACACAGCAAAGTATGGTAATAGCTAAGGATCCAAATTTCTCTTCACATGATCCAGCTTCAGCTCACAAACTCAGCATATCTCTTGAACAATTACCTACAAATATTAGTTTCTGGCAAACAAAAGCTACATTAGACTGCTGACATGAAGCACTAACATGATAAAACTGGAAAAGACCCACAACACTTCAACTTGTATAATTCCAACTAAAATTTACAGTAGTATAAAAACTTACACTCTGACAGTTGAAATTGCTTTTTATTCTTAGAAAAGCTAATTCAGTGTCTCCAATCAAACCTAAGTTTAGTTTATGTACACAAAAGAGTTAAACAGATTTTGCAGTCTTCCAAAGAGGCTACAATCAATTTAAACCTTAGTTTTCAGATACAATGATCTTACTGCCTTATACACAAGAGCTCTGTATAATTTTTTTAAGACAGCTGTGCTGAAAAGGTGGGATTTTTTTTGTTTTGTGAGTTTGGGTTTTTTTTAAGACTTTCAACTTTACCAGTCTCAGGTTTTTTTTTTTTTCTGGACGTTTTAATGATTCTTTATTCTATAGCACAACTTTATCTATATTTACTTTAAGTTGCAATCACAGCAGCAGGCAACAATAATTCATTAGATTCCAATTGTTCAAAATTTCAGCCGCCAAGAACAAGTAATCTTTCTTTCTTTTTCCTATGTGACTATGGAAATAGTTGGTATGATGATAAATTTTTTCTTCCCCTACCCAAGTATGGAAAAAGTTGATATAATGCCTGGCCTGGCAAATGTCCATGTCTGCATTAATACAGAAGTTGCTTGGAAACCAAACATGTTACATGTATTTTACAGATTCTGAAAAGTAAAAAGTTTGTCTCAAAACTGTTGTTGCCTACCTGCCTTGCAGTGGTCCAGGAATATCCTTCCGTGCATACTTCTTTTCATTTTCCTCCTCCACTTTTCTAAGTTAAAGAGACAAGAACAAACTATGTATTTAGTTTGTGTTTTATACCATCAAATAAGTAGCTGACTTTGACTTGAAAAAATACATACTGACATGTTTGCAATCTATTTCACTGACAATTTTCATAAATAAATCAGATAAGACCAGCAAAAAAGTTTAGCTCAGACTGAATTAAAGAGTTCCCAAGTTTTGTTATTTTTAGTTCTTTAACAGAAAATGTCAAAACTTACCGAAGTCTTATATATATGACCTTAAAAGGTCCCTTCCAACCCAAAGATTCTATGATATATAAGAATTAAAAGTTACTTGCACAGCAATAAGAAAAAAAAAAGATCTAACATTTCTGAAAAAACAGACTCACTGGACTTGCCCTGAATATTACAGAACATGCATGAAAATATGTACATTTATTTTAAAAATCCCATCATTTGAGAAACAATGGTGATTTGTATAGGTGTAAGCTTCAGAATGACAATATGACCTTCAACTACTGGGAAAATGAGTTCTTTCCTGCTTAATGACAGAAACATTAATAATCCTCCCCTTAGCACAGCTATTGTAGTTGTTATCATTTGTACATACCGTTGATTGTCTTCCAGCATCTTCATTGCTTCATTCAGATTCTTTCCCATTTCTGCTAGAGTAGGGTCGACCATCTTTCAGGGAAAAAGAGAACAACTTTCAAGAAAAGACCATAAAACATTTATCTTACTACTGTCCCCACAACATCCTCAATATAAGTTCACGCATTAGCCAGATTCTTCTAGCTAGTCTGTGTGTACTCATTTAAAACAACAACATATTGAATAGCCTGAACTCAAAATATACAAAATGAGAACATAGTACTAACCTAAAGTAACTCAAAAGAAAACTCAATTGTGGAGAAAAAAAAAAAATGGATCTATCAATAATAAAATCCACATCACAAGGAAAGTCAGACATTTTTCCTGATGAAAAATGAAAGAGCATCAGAAGGCAAGAAGAATTTCAGCAGCGCAAGATGTTCAAGTGCTTATTATAATGCTTTAGCTAAAAAACTACATATGTACCACTTTAGCCCAACTGAATGATTTTTTTTGTTTTTCATAACCATTCTACACTAGCAATAAAACTTCAACTATTCCTTTAAATGTAAAAGTTCACATGCAGTACTATTCAAAATTAAAACAAAAAAAAAATCAAAAACCTGCTAAGGGACATCCTAATCTTTCTACAGAGCATGGAAAACAGGTTGATATCCCAAATACAATCAGAATTATTTCAGTGGCAAATCCCATTTAGAAATTATCCTTTTACTTCACCTGAGAACTCATGTTTCTGCACCAACAAAAAGTTGCCATACCCTCAGCTGAGTTGACTGGCAGTCAGCTCACGATGTACAGACTAAACTAACCCCTCTGCCATAATTGTAATGGGGTGGGGGGGAGGAAGGGGGAGACCAACAAAAAAACACCTCCCACCCCCAAACAAGAGAGTGATCAGTGGGTAGGTACACCACTATTCTTACAAGAGACTTGCCTTCTAGAAAAGTCATTTGGGAAACTAAATACTGAAAAATTTGACCAAGGCAGGTTTCAGGTCACTGGGCATGTTGATGCAAATTCAGAGGAAAATTTGCATAAATTGACAGTTCATTCATTAGATTGCCAGTTCAACTAAAAGGTATTCAAATGTGCAGTTCAACTAAGAGGTATTCGAACGTGTTCAAGTAATAATTCCTGGAAGGGGTTAAAAAAGCCAACATTCCCTACCTAGGAAACACAAGAAGATACCATTTAAGACCGCTCTAGCAAAGGCAGAAATAAAATGGCAGTCTTCCCTGCCATTTCTCTGTGCAGGTTCCCTGCCAAACTTTTACAACAGTAAGTTTTCAAAACAGATGAGAAAACACCTAATCCAAATACTCTTGTAAATCCATTTTTTCCTATTTCTGGTACCTTTAAACCAATTTTTAATCTTAACTTATTGGAAAGATGCCTTTTAACTAGACAAAACAGTAAAACTGACCTGCAGCAGGCAGCTTAAGAAAGACTGACATACAGAAAAGGTTTATCTTCCAGCAGTTGCAGCCCTCTAGCCACACAAAACAGGTCAAAAATCCTGATTTCACTGCTGAAACCAGGTAACAACAAATAGTTGTTAAAGAGCTTGTCAGGGTGGAAGAGCTTTAAAAATCATTGAACTTATTTCCCCTGAACCAGTGACACGTTCAAAGATGAGTAAGTAGGATTTTCCAATGAACTGCTTTTGCTTTAAAGAAGTCTGTTTTATGAACTTTAATCCAAGAAGCCTGGCAGAAGCTTGTGACACCGACACAAGAGATCTGGACAGGAACATTTATGCATTTAAGGATTAGATGCCATTGAGAAGCTTCCAGATATCATCTGGCAGACTCTGATTTATCTATAGCAATTGATATTAAACTGTATTTGAAAAATAAATACACCCAAACTGTATTTGAAAAATAAATATTTGAAAAATAAAAGGTAGAAGGTAACACCATGGATGAGACCCATCACATTAAGCAGCAAAAGACCCTAAGATACTCAGGTGACCCTGTTACAGAATCTCTTCTCCCTTCCTCTACTTCCCAAATGTACTGTAAGCACAGCCTCCATAAATTCAACATCAATCCTTTTTCAAAAGATCAGCCCACATACCAAAGCCTGTAGTAGTTAACCCTTTAGACTGCTGCTAAGGTTGGGGGGGTGTTAGGAGGAGGGGTGGTGGTTGTTTAAAAAAAAAAAATCCCCAGAAAGTTTAATATTTAAGCTTACATTACCCACACCGCAGGGATTTAATAGCGTGTCTGCTGGAGTATTTGAGAAACTGTATTCCTAAAAGCCTGCACACACTTTCCATTGCTGTTGATGGAATGCATGCAACTGTTGCACACATGCAACAGGGGGAAGTACATTTGCTCATGCAGATGCAGACACAAAAGCAAATTTAATCACAGAAGGTGGTGGGATTAATTTACATAAGGATTTTACACTATTTTCATCCAGAAGACTAATCAAGAAAATAAAAAAATTGAGAGTTACCGTATGTTCAAAGCCTATTTTTAACCAAAATTTTCAGAGATGTAACTCGTAGTATAGCAAGTGGTAGGTGGCTGAAAGAATCAGTAGCCAGGTATGGTCACACTGAATCAAACCAAGATTGATAGCGCTCTATATTCTGTTGCTTTAGAAGTGGCCAGTAACCAATGTTTGGGGGAAGAACAAAAGAACAGTGCAAGTGTCCAAGTTTTGGCTGGGATAGAGTTAATTTTCTTCCTAGTAGCTGGTATAGTGCTGTGTTTTGGATTTAGTATGAGAAAACGTTGATAAGACACTGATATTTTCAGTTGTTGCTAAGTAGTTGTAGAGCTTACACTCAGCCAAGGACTTTTCAGCTTCCCATGCTCCGCCAGCGGGGAGGTGCACGGGCAGCTGGGAGGGGGCACAGCCAGGACACTGACCCAGCCTGGCCAGAGGCATATTCCCTCACGCTCAGTGTGTAACTGGAGTTGGCCGGTAGGTGGGAATTGCTGCTCGGGGACGGGCTATCGATCACTGGGTGGTGAGAACTGCTGCACTGCGCTTCACTTGGGTTTGTATATTCCTTAATAATTATTATTACTACTATTACTATTAACTTTTTCCCCTCTTTCTTTGCTGTCCTAGTAAACTGCTTTTATCTCAACCCACAATGTTTTCTTCCCCCGATTCTCTCCCCCATCCCACCTGCGGAGGGGAGTGGAAGTGAGCAAGTGGCTGCGTGGTACTTAGTTGCTGGCTGGGGCTATATCACAACAGCAAGTATTCAATAATATTTTCCCAAAAGAACTCCCAGCATTTAGCAATAAATGGCTTTTTACACTGTTTGCTTCTACAACACCAACTTGCTATAAGGGCCACAACTTAATTAAGCACCAATTAAAAAAGCAGTAGAAATAAAAAAAGTTCAAGACCTCATCACAGATATTAAAAAACACTGCAAGCACGCTCAGAATACAATATATATAGCCAGAAGAAAAACCTAAATGTGATCATTGGCAATATTTCCATACATTCTCAGTGGTTTCCAGAGTTGCACCACATCAAAGAAACTTTGAAAAGAAATGTTACTTAAACAAAAAAAAAAAAAAAAAAAAAAAATCAGTTTTGCTCCTGGGAGACTTTAAGGGAGTAACTGACTAGACATAATTTGCTGATTGTGACTAGCTCACATACTTTAATTCAGGTTGCCATAAAACATGATCAGTGGCCGCAAGACAATTATTTGCTTGAACTTTCCTCAGCTTCACAGGCAAATATTCAAACAAATGTGTTGTAGATGAGGACAGAAGATGTAGAGGCATTACAAAAAGGGCTCTGAGCTGCTTTTGTTTGTTACTAACACAAAATTCACCTGCTGGAATTACATCAGATGTTAAAACATGCACATGCTTACCTTGTGACTCATCCTGTCTCACTTACTAGTAATTACACGTGCATGAAACCCTTCTGCCAATAAGCTGGCAGAATAAATACATAAAATACAGTTTTAGAAGTCCAAAGAAGTTACCCTAAGATCCATAAAATGCTATATAATCCAGAAAGTCTTTGAGTTCTGATGTGGGTTTAATTGGAAAATGAATTCCTTCTGGTTTTTTCCCATTTATAAGTGGATATGCAGCAATTTATTTTCTCCTTTGAATTATGGGAAGCAATAATTACTGCTGCATACTGAATTTTATATATGCTTCCTCCTCTGCTCACATGAGGAAGAGCATGGAAGTGAGAAGCAGAAGACTATCTACTTATCTACTATCTACGCAAGAAAAATAGGCGTGGCAAAGTTGCAGCAACAAACCATTCAATTAAGAGAGATTTCTGAACACACTTTAATCACATGCCATAATAAAGTAGTACATTGCTTTAGTTTTGTCTGTAAATGAGATCAAGTGTGTATAAAATCCAATCAGTAATAAACAGAATACTTTTTTCAGGTTCTTAAACTGTTTTTAAGACAACTGGTGGATGAATTCTTGAATACTACCTCCTGAACCACAGGACACACTTCCTGAGGGAGTTAAACCAGCTGTGTTAAATACTACATTAGCCTTAGTTTCTGCACTCAGTCCTTTGCCTGGTATCACAGGATCTGACTCTGACCACGGTCTGGTGATCCTCTGACCAGATGAGTTACAAGACATGCAATGTCCCTTCAAGCTCTAAGGGGGCACCAGCCACAGCTTCTTCCTTCAACATGTCCATTCAGCATCCTGACACCTCCCACCTCCTTAAGCCCTTCGAAGGCCCTGCCATTCACTACCCTACTTTGTCTTTTATCATTTGTTGCCTTCAAAATGTGTTAATCCAATTCATTAAAGTTAACTTGCAAAAGGTTTGATTTGTGGTTACTTCCCCATTATGTAACTAATCTGTTACTATTTTTTTTAAGCACTTTGAACTGTAAACTGTTTCTGGTTTTAGAGGCAGTGTGTCACACCTTGAGGGCACTTGCAACTGGGCAAGGATAAGACGCCATTCTCCAGTTGTGATAAGACTAGACATTAATTACAAATTCAAAAAGGAGAATGTTGCTTCATATACCAATGTTTTACAATCTTGATTTTGCATTTCCATAGGCTGTACTTCTAATGTAAGAAAGGGACAATTTTTAAACA